TTTCTCAGTCTCTCCGTTGTTTTCTGTGCAAAATGCACCGCGAACTGCAGGGCCGGATTTACTTACTTGCCGCCATGGGTCGCCGGTATTTTGCCTCCCCCCTCTCATTCATTTGGAAACATCACTAAAAACCATCAAGTGAATGTGCCGGAGGGGGAGCGGTGCATAAGACACGTTTACTCATGTTGGACACATTTTTTGCGAAAGCCCTGTCAACGCTACTGGCAAAAGTTCACGAAACTTGGCGCAAAAGTTAAGTTCCGTAAACCTATCTTTGTGCAGCCAAGGCCTTCCATTTGTATGAAATGAACGAAACATTTATGAAAGAACAAACATAAATGTATAATTTAATGATTTTAACTTCCGCCGTCGCGCCGCACTGACTGCACTGTGTTTGGCGCAATGCGTGAAGTATTCTACACGTACAGTTTTGTATGCGCTATGCGTCTCACGCCAACTGCTGCTGCACGGCGTGCACGCTTTGTGTGATAAGACGCAATGCGTGAAGTGTTCATGCAGTCTTGTAGGCGCTATGCGTTTCACGCCGCCCGCTGCTGACCTCAGCGATCGCGCTGTATTTGACGCAATGCGTGAAGTATTCATGCAGTCTTGTAGGCGCTAATATTTCTTACATGCCGACAGCCGCTCCGAGGGTTTCTCCTTTTCATCTCAAGTTCTCGTCATCATTGCTCTCTGCGCCACGCCGTTCCAGGTTCGGTTTTTCTCTTAGTCTTAACTGGACTAATTAAAGAAGCTGTCTATTATATCACAGAAAGATGACAAAATTAGAGATATACTCTCAGGAAATGAGAAATTTGGTCACCTTTTCTCGTTTGTAATTTTTTTTTTTTTTTTGAATTCGATTTTTCTTTATAGCTACATTTAAAAAAATTGCAAAATTCGCCGCACCCCAAATTTGCCGCCATGGGCCGCGGCCCATGTGGCTACCCCTAAATCTGGCCCTGGCAAACTGTATAGCAAAATCAACACAAAATGTGTATTGGTTTGTGTTTCACTTCGTAAATCAACCAAAAGTAACCTATAAGAAGACAAACATTTTTATCAGTGTACGTGGATAATTAACTTGCTGATCGATGCACCTACAATGTCTTTATATTATTTGGGACCGTCCACGGGTAAATAGACTTTAAAGCACGGAGAGAGACTTTTTAGGAGAGGAATTTTCGCAAAGTGGGTTGAACAGTAATTATTAACTTAATGACTTTAATAATTCTAAAAAATACTTTCAACAGGCCTGTTGCAAACTTCAGCTAAAGCAAAAAGAAGAGTTATTTCTTTTAAGAAAATGTTTAAAAATCACTATGAGCGTAATATTAGATAGCAGTAATATTTGCTCGCAACATTTCGGCCGTGTTCTTTTAGTTTATTTACAACTGTAGAAGCTGAATTAATACTCAAAGCATTGATTCTAACTCAACCCGATCAGTTTGCCTTCAATGTCTCGATAGGCAAGATAAGCGGCTTGAGAGTAGTACCTAATAGTTGCTCGCAACATTTCGGCCACTTTCACCCGGTTTATTTATGTCTGAGGAAGCTTAATTGGATCGCATTCAGCAAAAAAGAACCAGCGCGATTACAGTGTTTTCAAAAACGTGAAACTTCCTCTATCCTTTTCAAAATACATGATGTACAGTATTCAAATTTACACGATTGTTGTCCTTTAAAATTAACAATTTTTCGGTGGTATAAAAAAAAATTTTTGCTATTCTGAGAGATTTTTCAGATAATCATGAAGAAGCAACAATTTTACAACACTGTAATCACGCTGGTTCCTTTTTGCTAAATGTGATCCAATCAATACTCTACTCGCATTGATTCTCACTCGTCCCGATCAGTTCGCCTTCAATATCTCGATAGGCAAAATAAGCGGCTTGAGAGTAGTAATAGTTGCTCGCAACATTTCGGCCACGTTCACCAGGTTTATTCATAACTGTGAAAGTTTAATACTCTTTTCACATTGTTTCTCACTCGTCCCGATCAGTTCGCCCTCTAAATCTCGATAGGAAACGTGAGCGACAAAAATTTCACATTTTTGATGAGTGTGGTGTGTTTTTATAGTGCGAGTTATTTGGAGAGTAACAGTAAAATAAAGATGTATCATAATATACTTTTAAAAAAGATACTGAGATTGCCGGAAATTAAGATATCATTGTTTATAAATCATGCGCATTACATTGCAAGGCGTGTCTTACATGTGGAAGCAGAGCGAGTCATGAAGTGTAATGTGGCTGATAGATTTTACGAAAACTTTGAATCTTGGATAACTATGGTGACACTTTGAAAACAAATGACTCATTGACTTGCGGGGGAAATATAGTAAATGCCGATTACAAATCATTTAAAATCATGCAGATGTATCCTTATAGGAGGAAGATGATGAGCATTAGAGGAAGAGTTTTACCGTGTATTGACAAGAAGAATTCAAAAGGTGGGCTTGAGCCGCTGCTACAGATGGCGGTTGCGCTTGAGGCTCAAGAATCAACAAATTCTCGCGATGCCATATTTCAACATTTTATCTTCATCTCCACTATATTTCTGGGTATTCTAACCCATTTAGGTTCAGTATCAAAGAGTATGTACGGAATTCTGTTTTATGGTGAGGAGCTCACGGGTTTTCAATATTTTGGGAGGAATAACTCTTCAAATACGCGAACTCTCCTTGTTCATTCCTTTTTACATGCCTATAATACATTTAAATGTTAACATTTTAAAAATTCTATATTTTAGAACTTGCTGAAAATTTCATGAGAAATGTGCATTCAGGATCTTAAAATTGTTTAAAATACCATTGTTTTCTGCATATTTTTACAGATAATTCCTTCTTACAGGAGCAAAAAATTATTTTGTCTAAAATTAGGGTAAAAAATCAAAATTTTAATCTAAGTAAGAATATTTAACTATTTGCCTAGGTATTTGACAAAATGTCTGATTTGACTACTTGCCTTCGACATCTTCACCACTATTTTTTTTCAGAGACCTCTTGGCAACGCCGCATTCTGTAGGAATTAGGCGGAGACGAGTGCGCACCGGGCACGGGCACATCTAACATCTGAGTATTCGGCCGATCGGGAAATTTGATAAGGAACCAAAAACCGCGCTTTCATGCTCTCCTCCTGAGTCTCATCAGCTGCGCCTTTGCAGCAGGTAAATGCTTCGCGGCATAGGGGTTGCATGCATGCTCAAACATCATCAACTACTCAGCGGATTGATTATTGAAATTGATGGACATAGCTTTAGAGAAAGAATCACTAGAAAAAGATAATCAAAATCGCAACTATAGTCAATGGCTGATTTTGGCGTCAGTTATAAGATAATTACGCAAACCGGTGGTATATAGTTGATCCAACCAGATATTTGGCTGACTCAATCGTATACCTCTCGCTGGTGCGACTTCTCTTATAGCTAGCGCCAAAATATGTGGGATTGTGATACTTTTTTCCGTGAAAGGCAAAGCGAAAATGGAGCGATCTCAATGGCTGAAAAGGTTGGTTGCAAATGACAAGGAAGGGAAATGATGCACTAATTTTAGGGTCTCTCGTGAATTTCCTACAGTGAGTATATTACTTACCTCCTTTGTCAATTTGCAACCAATCGCTTCCACTTACAGAATCGAGCCATTTTCCCTTTGTCTATCGCATTGTCCATCAATTTTAATTATCGGCCTGCTGGCTCGGAATAGGTATAATTATGTAGTATTTATGCTAAAAGGAACAATGTACCACGCAAACCTTATGCAAATAATTCCCTTTAGCATAAATACGTCCAAATATTGATCCAATTTTACCATTTTCCATCTTTTCAACGATGTAAATTACGAAATTTTAAGGAAATAAAAATGAGTTTAAACGTCTACTCAAGCCACCGAGGGATGCGTCTTTTGTTTCCTTCACAATGATAAATGCATGATAAATACAAAATACTCTGGCAGCTTACCAGTGAGTCTCATAAAATCAAATAAGGTTGGAAAAAAGAGTTTTAAATCTTCTACCCAAATTTTATTGACTTTAAATACGTCCAATTATTAGAAAAAATAAATAAATATGATGCACATAGTTCGATTCAAGCATCATGCGTTCAGACAAAAGATAATATTATATCTATTGAGCGAATCCTTGAGATGAGATTGATGAATGAGAATGTAAATCAGTTTCAAGATCGAAACTTTTTAACCTTGCAGGGACCAGACCGTTTTCTCTTCAATTGAGTTTGTTTTATTATTTTCATCTATTCATTTAACTAAAACCTTTATTGTTGTTTCAATTTTTGTTTCAATTTTTCCTGTTTTTTGCTTGTTGGTGGTATAATAATACCTCTTTATAAATTGACGATTTGTTACAAATATTGCGAGAGATACGGAATTGAATCCAAACGTGAGCAGACACAGCTGTTCTGCAGTGCTAAGGAAAAACGCCGTATGAACATTCGAGAATTGCCAAATATCCCTCGATAAAACACGTATTATTGACAACATTCATGTATATTTTTCCTTACAATTTTCAAATATTTTAGATTACATTGCCTGAAAATTTTGGAAAAATACGGCGTTCTTCCTCAACACAGCAGTGTTCTGCCATCGAAAGTAAAGACGCCGTATCTCCATTCAACACTTCTCCAACTTTTTCCTGACATTATTCTGTTTTACAAGAAACCTAACAAATGCTGGTGAAAATGAAACCATTTTGTGTGGAGTTACGGCGTTTTTGGTGTGGACGGCAGTGTTGCTGGGAGTGTTTCCAAAGATTGGCTGTGTAACTGAGCGCCGTGAAGTTATGCCGCCGGTGGAACACGAGCAGGACCCGGAGAGCGGCAGGCGGGAAGCCGCGCCAGAAGCAGCGTGAGCCGTGGCTGGTTCGCGGTTGCTCCGCTCGGTGGGCGGAGCCTGGGTAATTGTTGTGATAGGCGTTTCTTAGGAGATCCCCGGAACTTACCGAAGAGGGCCGATTTCGTTCGATGGGTTGTCTATAGCGAGAAATATCCCTCAGTCCTGTCCCAACTATGTTTGGTGTCGTAGCGCCACCGCCGTGTTCGTCGTGATCGCTATCTTTTTTATCAGATCACACACTTTTCCCCTCTCTCTTGATTACGCACGCCGATATCAACTCCTCCAGATTTCGTGGTCCTTGCCGTCTCGCGATCTCGTCATCGATATCAGTGCGCTGTCGTTGACCCCGTTTGAATTTCGGACTCAATTTTTCGTGAATTTTCCTCCGCGATCATGCGTTCCGGTTCGGATTCCTGTGCGCTCCCGGCGTTTTGAATTTTCCCGGGAAAGCGGGCATCGGATTCAGTGATAGTTCGTGTGTTTGTGATCGAATTCTTGTGATGATGGCCTCCAGGAGTGTTTGCCGGTCGAGGATGTGAGAGGACTCGATCCCTATGATTTTTGTTCTCTTCAAAAAGTTCCTTTTATTTTTCTTTCGTTTAAGTTTCTATGATTTCCTATTTGTTGAAATTTTAAATATTATATCTCAAAGTGACCAAGTCCTAACTGTTCTGTAGTTCTCGGCAGTGTTTGTCAACATGAAGTGCGCTCTTAAACGGACTTTATGAGGCGGCTTTAAATAAAAAGTCACAATTATTGGTAAGTACCGGCTATTTACTTGGCTGCATGATAAACAATGCGTCGAATTTTCCCATGCAACCAAATGTTGAAGCGTTGGGTGCAGAAAGGACATTTTTAGAATCTCCAATGCTAATTCATCCAATAGAGAGGAAACTATTTGGTGAATTTTCTGAAATGTTACGCTTTCAGCGTAGTAAAATCATTATGGATATTCAAAAAGAATCACAACGAATTGCATACAGTTTCTTTAATCATAACGGATGAACGTAAGCGGACATTTTGGGACACCGCGATTAGAAATTGCCCTTTTTGGACCCAGCGCTTCAATTAATCGCACACTTTCGCGGCAGGGTTTCTAACTTGACCCTATGTGCACTTCCCTGAGCAAGGAAATTTTCTCAGTAAAAGTATGGCACCAGGATAATTTTATAAATGAATTTCATCGACGGCTGACAGTTTTCGTCTCGCTACGAATAAACCAACGGAAACAAACAAGTTATTTAAATCCCGCTCTGAATAAAGTTCAAAATGCGTTTAGACCAAAGTAGAGCATTTTAGGATTGTGCTCCCTGTTCCATGAACAGTATTAGTTGAGATAAATGCACGGTCAATAATTAATAATTGTCAACTATTCCTCTGTATCCAGTGAGTACCACAACCACCCGCGTCCAATGTAGGCAAATTACCTACAGTTTGCCTCATTAGTTTTCCTTTCAGATTTGAAAAGAACAATAATTTGATAGGGTGAAATATAGAAATGTGAACCATTTATTTATACATAAGTTGTGTATATGTTGACATTTTTTTAAGGACAGTAAGGACAAACTATTAAGGGAACAACAATGGATTATGGATCCTTTAGAGATCCGATGAAGGTACGGAATGATAAACCTTTGTTTATATGCCGGTTAATTACTACTTCGAAATGATTGGGGACAAAATTAAACATGACCGTGTGAGAGGTCAAAAATTAGTAGGAGGACCCCATTAAATGTCATGTTTAATGATAATGTTTAGAGAGAATAAGCCGCTGAATAGGCAATTGTAAAGAACTGATACATAGTTGACATTGGTGCTTTCCTCGCAAAATCGAAGGATTATTAGAAAAATCTTTGAACGCTGACATTTTTGAGGACAAAAATGTTTTGGGATGATTTTCTGGAGAGCAAAAGTATCAACTACTGTCCCAGAGTCTGGGAAACATCTTCGAATCATCATCTGCTTTTGGAAATATCTTCGAATAACACATGCCTTTCAAAAATCTAAATGTTACTATCAGATTATATGGGTGGTATTTCTACATGTAGTGCCATGTTTTGGAGAGTTGTGGCAACAAAAAAATTTTTTCCGAGACTGAGACAAGATGAGTACTCGTATAGCAACTAGATGAAAACGACTAAATGCCTCATTATATACATGAAATGTCAGAATGAGTTTTATTTCTGCTAGTTCGTGAAGGCATTATATTCTGAAAGTCTGCAAGTATCGCAAACTGAAATGTTGCAAATAATTGCAATTATTAATAATAGAAGTAAACTGATGAAATTGGCGAGTGACCTCCCCTCGCAAGCCAATGACCTCCGTCTCCCATCTCCAATAAAGCCCCATAACTGCTCAGCATGGTTTACCATGTGTGACGTACCTGGCGGATATTCCAAACAACATGGCTGAAGGCTATTGATTTTCATGCCTTAGCTCTTGATCTGTGATTCCATGCAAAAAGCAAATTTTGTTGTCAGCTCATATGAAAAGAGTAGAGTCTATTTAAACATAAAATAATTTATATTGTTTTCATTTTCATAATTTTTAAAACGCGCATCAATTTTGTCCCTTCTATCAAGAGTTTATTGCGGTTTAATTGAGGGACGGTAAATCTTTTATTTGCTAGATATCATGTTCATTATTCATTCAGTATGACATTTATTTACCTACATCAAGTTATTAAATGATATTTTTTCTCCTGAATAGTTGTCTCATACTCTTCAGAGTCAAATTGAGATGACTCCTGCATCACTTTGTAATGACATTTTCATAAATTTTCTCTGCCCGTAGCCATAATAGTGAATTTGGAGGAATACTCATTTGCAAAAACCTCCTGGGTGAAAGAATTGATAAAAAAAAATGTTTTCACAACTCATAATCTACAGCATTCAATTTGTGTGTAAAAAATTCACTCATTAGGTATTGAGTAATAACTGCTGTAAATTTGAATTTTTTTCTTCTATTGAAAACTTGAAATATTTTGCACCCGTGTATGTATAAGTATTGGACTGACTCAATAAAATTGAGTTTCATGATGATCGAGCTTCCAAATGTTTCATTTAAAGCCGTGTTAATATTAAAAGTCATTAAAGGATGATTAGGTTTTGGAGCCATTAAAATCATTTTCCGATCATAGCAGGAAATGATTTATCCGCCGAATAATTTTTTGTCACTCTGAGGAAGGGAATATTCTGAAATATAATTGCAATAAAAACGATAGAGGTATATGGATGAGGTAGGTGCGGGTGACCGTTAATAGTTCTTCTTGTTTCATGACAAAATTTTTGTCACTATGTTACTGACTGATAATGTATATATTTTTCGCGACCGGTATTTTTTTTAATTCATGTACCGTGCCGCGAAGAAAATTTAACGTCCACCGCCCTAATTCATAGAAAGTTTTATCCATAATTCATTTTTAGTTATTCCGCGCGGATCTGAATACACATTAGGTTCATGAAAACATTAGTTTATGTTTATAACCATTTTATCAATGTTACTTCACCATACGCCTCAAATACTAGCCTCCTTCATTTTCTCGGCTTAATGGTATTGGTAATTGCAACGATGATTCCAATGGCCTTTTTTTCATCACTCAATAAACTTCTTCCCTTAATTCATAAAAATAAATTGATTATCACTCACTTAGTCCATTAGCAATGAGTGGAACAAGCATAACTATGATACAAAAGAGGAAAAAAAAATAATATCAGCAGGTACGATGAAATGGAAACTTGGAAATGAAAAGAAACCAGCGGGAAGAAAAAAGCTACCTAAGTGTAGCTTAGAGATTTTTTTTCTTTTTTTTTAGTTAATCACAGACAATAATATTATTGATGTGTTTGCATAGGCAGAATGCAATGCCTGTAAGACCACGCTGCAGTAGGCGAGCCAGTTATGTCTGCAGCACCCCCAAATTTCTCTCAGTGCATCTTTGTTTTATTGCAACTGAGCCCATGAGAATTTCTAGTCGGCTTAAGTGAGATCAGGCGAAAATGGAGATTTCTATTGTCTTAAGAATGCTCAAAGCACACTGTTACAACATTTTCCCAAGATTGAGTAACCGCGTTTAATTCCGAGAGCTTTCTCGCTCTGCGCGTTTTTAGTCATTTACTCACTCAGAACCGTTTCTTCCTCACAATGAGGCCATGTCAGCATGGAAATTCATTTGAGAAGTGTAAAATAAGAAAAGGAGCTCGACCAGAAAATCAAAATAATTTTAATAGCGGTACAGCCAAAGTAAATTGTGAGATTTTGTGTATTTTTTTCAGTTGATTAAAGTCTCTTTCCCTATCTTTTATTTAAACAGAAAACTCTCCAAGATAGGAGCCTTTTTTAGATCCGCAATATAATTAAATATATTTTATGCTCTTAGAATTTGACTTCAGAGTTTTCATGCAATTAATTTCAACATTTTCAGGCCTGATATTCGTGTCTTTAATTTATATTTCCTGATGAAATGATCTTGATCGTTTGGGAATTTTAAATCGTATTTATATACAAGCTAAAGGCAAACACATGAATAAATCTATACATGCATATGTTTTCAATTGAACACAGTGCCGCATCCACAGGTTTTTTTTTATGAAGTTACTCGCGAAAAATAACTCTAGTAAGATGAAATATTAGTAGGAAACAAACGAAATTAGTCAAATCTATCAATATTATACACAAAAATTAGATTTCTCAAACATGCCCCGTCAGGGACATCCCATTAAGACAGGTACATGGGGTCTAGCACAATGCCACAATAATTTTTATTTTGTTATTGATTGATAACAAACACCTATCTTTTTTTAATTAACAGAATCACTCATTGATCACTATCTACTAAAAATTGCAGTTTTGATGGATCAATTCTAATGTAAATTTTAGGGATGTGGAGAAGTAAAAATATCAATTTTATAATTGAATGAACATGTTTGTTCCATTCAATTGTTCAACGATTATTTGGATGGCAAGTAGATTTTGCGAGTGCTGTAAAGCGACTTATATATGTATGTATGTAAGTAGATTTTAAAAAAACAGATGATTAAAATAATAACACGAAAGAAAGTCAGGTGTGCGTTCGAAAAAAAAGGGAGAAAATCCCATGAACAATCTAAGTAATTGTTTATTGCTCTTCATTAATAACCAGGATTTCGCGCAAAACAAGTAATGAAGTTTAAAATTGAGGTGCCAGAATTTCGCGTTTTACAAGGCAGACATGCATTTTGAAAAGAAACGTCATTTCCCGTAACAAAGTATAAACGTAATTTTTCAGCGTTGTTTGTTTCTTTTTTTTCTTATTAAACTAAAATATCATAGGGATTTAAAGACCCTACAGGAGGTTTTCAAAATTCACAGGAAAAAAATAAATAAATAAAAAACGAAGGATCGATTTAATACTACTAATTTTCCCAGCCATGCATAGGTTTTTCTGGTAATTATTACAATACTGCATTTGAAGAAGGCATGTTTTCCCATAGCTTTAAAACCATGGCAATTTCTTTTCTTGGGGGTAAGGGGGTCGAAATGTAATTGAAAAATGTTTTAGGAGTTCATAAAATAAAAAAAGTTATTAGAAATGTAAAAAATAAAATAAATTACAAATAGAGTGATGAGCGTTTGAACTTTGGAACAACCCAGCGAATACAATATGTTATTAGTCTTCTCGCGCAGCGCATACACACAAGTCGCAATCTTATTCATCACCTCCAGGTAGTGAATATTATTGCAAAAGATTAAGCTCACGAAATCAGAGAATCTTAGACCAA